TCAAGTGTGGTAAAGTCAAATGTCATAAAGTCAAGTGTTCGTAAAGTCAAGTGTACTTGACCCCATGTATTCTCTATGTATTTTCTCTGCGGGGCTCCGCACGGAAGAACCCTTCGCGATGCTTTCGGGAATTTGGACAAGGTTCCTGGTCCTACAGTGGCAAGGCCGCCTTCTCCTCCTCGTTGTCGACACCAAACTTGGCCAATCGGACATCCCTTCGTTCCTCGGATTGTCGTTTCAGGAGATCTCATGAGTGTCGGACCCTAGAGTCCTAGAGTGACACAGGGTGGTGCTCGCGGGTGTGCACAAGCTGCAGCAAAATACAAGTACAGCCCATGAATGACTCATAAACTATCTTGCTCTGGGTCCTGCCTGGCGAGCCTGAGGGACAAGGGGGGGGGGGGGCGGGTCCCAAGGTCCCAGAGCCCCAGTCCCTGCAGCCGGCTGTCCGTGCTCGAGGCGGGAGTTGGAGTGAAGGTGCTGTGCGTTCCTCGGCTTCGAGACACCGCCCATTGCCCGCACACACCGCCCCTCCTGTGGGCCTAGCCGGATGGGACTCGCCTAAGTTTGGCCTCGTGCTCCTCAGGTCGACTGCAACTGACAGCGAAAACAACCTGTGCTGCACCGCACGCGGCACTATGAAGTCGAATGCTGCTTTCATGGCAACTCCCTTGAAACTGTCTCCTTGCCGAGGTGGTCCCGCGCGAAACACAGAGTAGGTGCGGAGTTGAGCGTGCCCCACTTGATGGCTGGCCACAATCCAAGCATGTCATACCTGGGTCGCATGTGTCAGCTAGCAAGAGAAGAGGAGGCATGAACTGTCAGCCCAGTGATTGAGGTAGACACATCCTCAAGCCAAACTCAGCCACAGGCCTCTCAGCAGAAGGCGTGTTGTCCATGCGATTTCGTTTTCCCCTCGACCCTCCCGCTGACGGTCACCCACATTGGCACGCGATGCAGCGCAATGCCTGATTGGCACCAGTTTGTAGGCAAACATGTTCATCTCCACGTGGTGCGAGCAGTAGACCTTGCAGTGTCCGGTGAGTCCGCAAGTCCAGCGCGACCGGAAACTGAGGCTTCTAGCTCTGAGCCTGTGGCGGGGATGCGCCGCCAAGCACATGTGGACAAGACAAAGGTGCCAATCAGGGACGGGTAGACCAAGTGAACCTCACATCGCAAGATCTGCCTTCACGATTTCCAAATCTGAATCGATGTCTTGTCAAAGTCCAGGACTACGTCCCAGGTGTGAGCACCCAGAAACCACGCAAGCTTTACCTCGCAGGCCACAGCGTTTCTATTCTAGTCTCTCGCACGGCAATGCTGTAAGCTCCTGGCTCCTGGGGTGTATCCTATCCTGTTCTTCATGTTGAAAGGGTTGACGACCTGGCGTCCGGTTCCACTGCTTCCTCCATGGTTCCTCCGCATCTGAGCAGAGTGCTTGAGATGACAAATTGGCCAAGCACCGCCGGGATGTTGGGATGGTCAAAGGACGTTTCCTTGTTGGCCTCGTAGGCTGTGCTGAAGACGATCACCTGAAGCCGCTCGATGCCCCAGGGAACTCGGATTATTTCTCCGGAACTCGGACCTCGTGACCCTTTGCACGCATCTCTTTGATGTAGGCATGGCAGCGGATGGCGATGCCTTGAAGAGTGCAAGGAACTGCCACAAACTGCCGCCAGCTTTGCAAGGGATTCTGGGGCCGTTGCCGTGTGTCTGGGGCGGAAGGTAGTCCGTGATCACCAGGATTCTGCGGTTGGCCACCGGGCGGCCTCCACGGACCCACGGAGCACGGATCCCCTACAGACACCGACACCCCCTTGAAGAGTCCTCCCCCATCCACCCTTTCCCTGCCTGTTGCCACGCCGGTGAGGCGCGCGATGAGCCGAAGGAGCTGGGCCTGCAGACAGAGCTGGGTCCTCTCCTCCCCCCCCCGGTGGCGCTCTGGCACTGAGTGCTCGGCCAGAAAGAAGACCGCATAACTCAGGCAGAGGCGCGGAAAGTACACCACCTCCCAGAGCACTGCTCCGGCGTCTGGAGCTGTGCTCAGATTTGTATATCTTTGCATCGACTGTACTTCCCCCCGCCAAGGTGAAGAAGAGCAGGACCAGGTAATGTGTCCGCACGGCAGCGATCCAACACCTGGTGTTGCGATGCAAGCTCGCCAGACTTGAGGTGCGATGAGATTTTACATGAGAGCCATGCTTTCAGTTTCATGCTGGCTCCAAAGCCAACGTCCAGGAGTCAAGGCTGACCAAGAGCAAAAGAAGGGGGCACTCTCTGTTAAAATATCATGTAAAGGTGATGTAGTTAGTGGAACAGGTGGTCCACACACGGATTTTGAGTAACCAACGCAACTGAACCGTTGCCCATCTGCCACTTCGGCTGCAACGAAGTCATCTCCGAGCATTGACTCTGCTCAGAGCGTGCTAGCTTTGTTTAACTGCGTCGCCACGGGCTTCGCTGAGTGCCGTGCTCAACACAACAGATCCGGGTTTACTGACCCGACATGAGGTTAGCAGCACTGTAGCGCACATCTCGAGCTGCAGGCGGGAGCTGAGGCCCAGGCGACAGCTGCCGACCGAGCCCATTGTCGCTCGCCATAATGGAAACAGAAGCTAAGTTGCCTGTTCCAAGTGAACGAAGCAGTGGTCAAGAGTACTCGTAAGAGTCGAAAAGCGCTGAAGCAAGCTCTCCAGCAGCAACCTGGTAGCAGTGCTGGCTGGGCTGTTTGGATGTGGAAACCATTGTCATGGCTACGGCTCAAGATGCTCCACCCTTGAACATGCAAGGACAAAGCAAGCGTTGGATCTTCGAGACCACATGCTGCAGCAAATCAGCTGAGCCCCTCACGTCACTCTTTACCCGCAAGCGAAGCAATCCTTCCGTCGCAGCTCGAGCCTAATTAAACTCCGGCAGCCGCGGTAAGGGAATGGACTTCTTGTACTTCCTCCTGGGCCGAAGTCGAACAGATTCGGCAGGCAGGTCAGAGGGTCTGTATGCTTGAGGAGTGTTGAGAACGCAAAGTCTTTGAGAATCCGATCCAGAAGTTTGCCCCGTTGCACATCAGCGCATATTTTTTCAGCCATTCGATCCTGTTCGGGTTGCGTATACGTGCGCACTAGACTCGAGGGCCTACTTCGACTGTAGCCAGTCATCGTATGTCATCTGCAGCACCAAGCACGGCGATTCACCCGTGACATGAGCTCATGTCACAGCGCAAGTGCGTGGCTCTCCTTCCCAGCTTTCGGCGGCGAGGTACCAGCATCACTTCCGGGCGAGGCTCACCTCAGCTCGCAAGCGGTGAGAAGCGAGAGATTGATCTTAGACACTTCACATGCTGGGAACCAGGCGGTTCAGTAGCTCCTGAAGGCTGCCGCCCTCGGCGAGGATCTCGAGCGCATGTTCGAACTCCTCCTGGACCACAGGTCTCCGCTGCCAATATGCGGTCTGGAAGCAGAGTCTGCAGAGTACCGACATAGCATTTGCAGAAAGCACCTTAAGCTGCGCGAGACGCTCTCTCAGCATCACAATGTTCAGGTCACGGAACTCAATCGGGTCCTGAACCAACGTGTCAAGGTGCAGAATTGATCTCTTCACTGGCCCAGGCTCCACAATCGCTTCTGTCGAATCTGCCATCTAAGTTTCTACAGGATCGTGAAGTACTGAGAATGCAACACCTGTGCTGGACTGCTTCATGTGCAAGCACAGCAGCCCAGTGAACTCAGAGAGCTTCCAGGATATGAACATGCGCACAGCTGAGCCTCCACATGTATACACGGCTCCGGTTGAGCCTTGCCGAAGAGAAGGAACCTTTGTAAAGGCTGACCGGGATGCCGAGAAGAGCAATGCAGACAGCACGACCACTAGTTACACTACTTAAGAATGCAAGGAAAGAATCCCAGCCGTGCTGGGCTTCCTGCCATGGACCTCTGTCCTTGCGGTCGGGCTTCTGCACAGAAACCACCTGCAGAGAACAAGACCATGCCCGGCCCATGCCTCATAAATCTCATAAACTCACACACCCACAGAACACCACTGCAATGACTGCAATGACATGGAATCATGGAAAGGGAAAGCGGCATGCGAAAGAAGCACCACAAAACGCTCCCGTGACAGCTCGCATTCGCCTCAGAGCCCCACTTGTACCTGCCAGCTTGCTTGAAATGAGCCTCCAATTCCACCTGCTATGCTCGCTGATTCCTTGATATTCCCTCGCAGACTGTTTGGTTGCATACACTTGACGATGTGGCGCGACGACTTCGGAAGCGCACTCTTTGGAGTAGAAGTGTATGAACCCGTAGAAAAGCTCGGCCTCAGGGTAGTCACCGTTTTCCAGATTATATGGCTGCAGCTCAAAGAGGTAAGCCCTCGGTAAGCTCACGTTGGGGCTGTGCTACAGACGGAGTCACACTCGGTCTAGCACTGTAGGCTTTGCCAAAACACCACTTTATCCTGCTCTCCTGAACTGGCCGTATTTTGACTATACCAGCATTACTCGGACAATCTTGCGTACAACACCCTGTCATGGTAGCACGTGTGATTTGATGGTTAGCAGTTTGCAAGTCTGCCACGTACTGGTTTAATGCTGATACGAACAAGGCATGTGTTGCAGCCTGCTGAATGCGCTTCATCGATGGTTTCAGACTTCTTCCATCTGCATACTCTGAGATGTCGGCCAAAGAAAGGCCGGCCTCTTGGCAAGAACTTCTGCTCAAACGAGTCATAACCAGACACTCTGGCTACAACTACACACAGACACTATGCTGCTGGCTCTACGTCACTGCACGACGCTCAGAGCAGCACATTGCGCATGATTTCTCAAATGCACAGCGTACTTCAGCCGCCTAAGCTGTCCTGCTGAGGGACATCAACCCTGGCTTCGGTACCGATGCAAACCGCCCCGCGTCAGCATCGTCAGGCGGAATGCTGCCACTCTCGTGGTGTCTGCGCTGTGGAGATAATGTGCTTCCCGAATTGCAAATACCGTGTCTGGCCTCTCCAGCGGGCGCCGCAAACTTTCCATTTTTCACGCCTTTCTGGTATTCCTGCCAAGTGCTGTCAGGACGGGGCAGGCCTCTACACTCTAGACAAGTTCCGCCTCAGCGGTGAGAAAGCCAACCTGGAATGACCGCTCGTTGCCCCAGTAGTCCCTCGTCTCCAGCATCCTCACAGGCATCGCACCCAGTGGAGAAGTCCGGAAAGGTGAACTCAGGTGCCTTTCGTCTTTGGAGAGCAGCTGGAGAGATGGGAGCAGCCCCACCAGTTGAAGGAAGTACAAGACCTTTGTCAGCTGAGGAACGTGGACTGTAAGTTTCGGCAGTATGAAATGAATCGAGGCCGTGCGTCCTATGGAATAGTTGCAAATGGACATGCCCAATACCGGGGTGTCCTGCCATGATCGTCCAGGAGTACGAGGACAGGTTGCCCCCTTGTGCGCCGCAGACTTTCTTGCCTTTTGCCCAGACCTCCAAACAAGTCAAATTACAGAAGACGAGCCTGCAGCTGCGCAAGATGCTGGCCTTGACCAACAGGACCAGGGGTCGCACCCGCCTGTCACAGCTCGGTTGTCTAGCCGGGCGCATCAAAACCCACCGAACTTCCACCGCAAACGAGTGGCGGATCCAGCTCGGAGTATGCTCGTAGCAGCTGTGAGTTGTAGAGCGGAAGGCCTGAGGCGAAGAACCAGAAAAACTTAGCAGGTCATGCAGTCGGAACGGGCTCTGGCTGTTGTTTATGGAAACATCTACCTCCGTCAGCGTGCTCTTCCTGCGAGCTCAAAGTAATCGTCAGCTCTGTGCAATGCACCCGTTGCCCCCAATCGAACATCACACCCTGGCGCACGTGTCTTCCAATGTGACCAGAGGTTTTCGAGCTCGTGGGATAAGTTGGCTTACCTGTTACGGAAAGCGGTACAACGCCTAATTCGATTGTGCACTGCCTCAGCAAGCCGTAAAGAAAATGACAGGTTCACTTTGAAGCCCAGTTCTGGCAAGAAGTCCGCCAGCTGTTGCACGGCATGCGTCATCGCCTCTCACCAATCGGTATGTAGTGGCCGTGCCAAGACGTTCAGGGAACGCGACCAGCAGGTCCACGCCGCTGAGCTGCGCACCATTTTGGGTGTCACTGCCTTGAGCAGCAAAGACCTGAGCACATCAGAGGGGCACGAAAAGGCCCGACGTCGCTGTCTGTTGTTCTGCCGACTGCACGTACACAGCTTCCACTGGACAAGAGCCACATAAGTCCTCCAGACGTACCCTGAAGAATCGGAGGGGTGGGCTACCAGTAGCTTTCCAACAACCGATTCAAGATTCTCTCTAACACCCTGCTCCCCCTGCCCTCCGTCTGCGGCCCTCCGTCTGCCGGGCGCCCGTGCGGCTGGACAAAGTCAGATAAAGCACCTTCAGAAAGCAGAGGGCTGCCCAGCCTTGCGGCGCGTGTGCAGCTGAAGTTGATTGCCAGTTTGCCGCGATATGCAGGTTTTTGCGACTGTCATAGCACTGAACATCTCCCAGTCAACGACCGAAAGTACCGTTGCCTTTCATATCGACTCTGAAAGCTGGCATAGCTCATGTAGTAGGTGAGCTCCTTTTCTGAAGCGGCGGCTGCATGCGCAAACAAGCACAAGGCAGCACCTTGACATCACGGTCCTCTTCATCAATGGCCACGAGCACATCTAGGTCAGATGATTCCTGCACGCGCGGCCCTTGAAGGTACAGGCCAGAATGCCATAGGATGGTCTTCAGCCCCAGATTCAATGGGGTAGAGCCTCTTCAAGCCTTTTCTGATAATATGAAGAATTATGAAGACAAGATCAAAGGCTCAGGCCATCCCGGTTTGCGTTTGCTGGCATGAAGGAAGCCTCACCACACTTCGTCGGACCCAGCAGACCTCGCCGAATCCGTTTACCGTTGAGCCGAAGGGATGCGCTGTGGCCGCCGGCGCCTCAGGACAAGACAAGTTGTGTGTCCCCCAAGACTCTCGCACGTGGCCACCTGCCTGTCTGGGGCCCGGACGACACATTGTTGCGCACCTTCCTGGATGCGCATCACGACATCCTGCACCACCTCGTTGGCCTGAGAAGTTTGGGCGGCAGCTGGCTGCGCAGATTCAAAGACTTGAGGCCCGTATCCTGTTGAGGAACACTGCCGAACTTTTCTTCAATGTCCTTCGCCAGGTCTTGATGCAGCTTGACCTGGGTCCCAGGCCCGAGGTCAGCCGAAATGCAGTGCGGACCCGGTCAGTGCCGTTAGTGCGTCGGCCTGCTCAAGCCATGTGTCGAGCGGAAGGCGCGGGACGCCCGTTGCGATAGCCTCTGCAACCGGGCATGACTGGTTTTCTCACACACACACACAGGCCACACAGGCACACAATGCTTGACATGCTTTCCGATGTTGCCTCCACGAGGAGGGAGTAGGGAGACGCAAGCTCTCAAAAACTTCCGCAGATTTACTCCTCTTTGACCTCACATACCCTGCCGCCTCTTCGTCCGCTTTGTCTGACTCGCCACTGTTTGACGGACTGCATCTTGCAGCGCAGCGCGAACGCCTGCGAACCAGTCGGCGCAGTCGGCCGCGGCGGGAACCGCAATTCAGGGCACCTCCGCTTCTGATGACGAGAACGAAGCGTAGTCCTCTCAAGTGCACCCAGGTTTCACGCGATGGCATGCAAGCGAAGGTTGCCAAACCAGGGTGAGCAGCCGTGAGCATGAACTGGTATGGGATGCTTTTCTTGGGTGGCGCAGACTCGCTACACTGCCTCCACATGGCCACTGCCGCAGGGACCAGGCTGCGGCCTGGCACATCAAGGCAGGGGTTTCAGGCGACACCGAGACAAGAAAGTACTTCGCGGTGAAGCAGGACCAAGAAACACAACCCAGGGACATGTCATTGTCATGTCTCTCGCCTTCAACACACGTTGAGACCTGGACCTAGCCCGTTATTTGCTCGGACTGGCTTATGCGCGTATGGGCACGCCTTGCGCCAATGGGCGGCGGCTGCGGCCGTGCCACCCATCTCCGGCCCTGTCGTTCAATTCACAAAAGCCTGAAGCTCCGGGCAGCAAGAGACCAGCCTGTGTGGGAGGAGAGCCCTCGGCTTTCTCACATGTCCCAGACGCCTCGCGCGGACTGTTCTCAGATTCACCCACGTGCAAGGGTGCAAAGTGGTGCAAAAGGGGCCCCGGGACCCGCTCAGTCCTTGCAGTCAGCTCGTCGCAGAGAAGCTGGTGCGGTAGGGTTGGAGACAACGCCATCTCCACCGATCATGGGGATCTCATGCGACCGTCTTTCATGTTCCTGTCAAGGCCGCTGTACAGCGGCAAGCGCTGCTAAGATCCGGCGGAAAATCAGCTTTCCCCATGTCTTCTTACTCTTGTCTGCTGTCTCAGTTTTCAACAGACTCGCGAGTCCAGATGAGGGTTTCTTGCAGCTTGTTGTGAAAGTCATGGCAATGAGCATGAATCTCGGAGCTGCAGAGCATGACGGCAGGTCGGCACGGAAGCGATCTCCGCAAGCCTGCTGGCTGGTCAGTTTAAAAAGCTCGCGGCAAGGAGACTGTGCAGTTTGGTATGGTAATATCATATCCGATTTGTCCATTCCCGCTGTCTCCGTGAAATGGCCGATCGTTGCACTTGGAGTCTTGGGTGGGAAACTGCAGACACTACTTTCGCACTCTTTGTATCCCTTTGCAAGTTAGCGCGATTGCGCCACATGCCGTTTGTGGACAGCGCTGGCTTGAGTGCAGCGTGATTCTAATCACGCCGACTACTGAGCGTCACATTATCAGCATGCGAGACGAGCGTCGCAAGATAAGCTTTCATGGTCAGCTCGTTCGCACGGGGCGATCATTGTCATCACCATATCCCTCTGCAAAGATAAGGTTCTTTAGCTCGAGAAGCTGGTGGGCCGCGGAACTGAGCGCATGCACTGCAGTGATGCGCTCAAGTCACACAGGCCTGGGCCGTGGCCTACCCTGGCGTCAAAAAATGGTGATCAGAGTGAAGAACGTGTACACCTCAGCTACGACCCTAGCGGCCCTAGCGACATCCCTGGCGTGCGCGAGGAGAACTTGGATAGAGTTCTGGATGGTTGTGAACTGAGAGCCATGCCAAACCAACAGGATAAGCGACCAGCCACCTGGTTGCGTTGCGTTTCTCGGCTACGAACACGAAAGTCGACTTGCCCAAGTTTGAAGGCCCACCCAGCCTCTGGTCCTGCATATGTATCGCAATCGCGAAGAATCTCGAGGACGACGCAGTTGCCCATGCTGGCAGACATGTGCTTCTCGAATTAGCGATGAGCACAAACCTTCCTGCCAACAGCCCAACTCCTTGCTTTCTGTTGTTGTTTCGGCCACCAATAAAACCTGCATCTTTTGCTCCTTGAACCGCGCGGCATCAGACCCCCTTGGCAAAACGCTGCCCCGTACGATCCCCGAAGTGCAGTGCTCCTTTGAATGGTTTAGTCTCTTGGCCTGTCGGTTTTTTGAGGCTTCCTAGGTCCTTGGCCGAAAAGCTCCCAAAGGGCCCTACCGATGCAGCAGCACTTGCCGGACGGCCTCATTTCGTGTGGGCTGCGTGAGGTGGCGGGGGGGTGGGGGGGGGGGGGGGNNGTGAGGTATGCAGTCCGAGCTAGGCCAGGCCTATGCAGACTGCGGCCATGATGGAACCAAAGGTGGACCTGAGAGACATCTCTAGGCTCGCCTGAGAGCCAGGGAAAGGGAAAGCCAGCACTCGGGCCGGTGCTTCAGGGAAACCAGAATTCCGAAGAGCGCGAGGAAAACAATCGGTATTAGCCTTGGCTCTTGACTGAAGGACTGCACACAGCAAGCCTGACTGAAAACTATCCAGACGGGCCACCCATATCCAAGGATGCTAATTGTTCTGTAGAGGTCGATGCCTGCCGCATCCATGATGACAATGTCAGGAACTTCATGCTGTGAGGTTGGATCTCAAACACGAGGTGAAACCATCGTCGGACTGCATCTCCCGCGAAAGTCACTTCCGCTGAATTGTCTCCCGCCCCTGACCCTGTGGAAGGATAAGTACTTGCCCGGACTGTACCACGAAATCTGAGACGACCCGGAACCTGCACAAAGGAAGCAGTAATCTGGCCTTCCTTCTGGCTCATCACATTTATGAGGCAGCAAATGCCGAAGGAGCCCCCAGCAATCAAACCGTAGACATACCTGTCGCGAAGATCGGCTGTGGCATGCCACGGAAACACGAATACAGGTTAGGCTGCAGAGGTCTTGCATGCTGGCAGGGAAACTCGGAAGCACACCCGAACTGAAGCTTGCCCACAAGCAGGAGTGCCATGCCTCGTACAGAGCCGCCGCTCTCTCTGCTACAGCATGTACTGACGCAGTCCTCTTTCTTGCATCTCCCTGCCACAGCTGTGCATCTCCGTGTCATTATCTCAGCGGTCGGCCCAATGTTAGGCAAATGAGCAAGGGTCCGCTCAGGTCAGCGTCCTTGAGAATTTCCTGACATTCGCAAGGGCACTCCGTGGTCGATCGACTGACCATCAGATGATTTGCTGTTTGCCCAAGTAAGTCCCAAGTGTTGATTCTGCTTCGGCACTCAAGCAGCCATGTGCCTCGTCCAGCTTTTTGAAAAAGGCTACCCCCTGCATTCTAAGGAGGATATGCTCAACGTTGATGCCGAGCTCCTCCAACTTTGGACTGGAGGGGACAGGAATTGGGTCAGTGATGCGCACTGCGAAGGTAGCCTCGAGGAGGGGCGGCTCGTTTTCGATGTCGTCGTCGTAGTTGTTTACGGCTGGTGGCCTCAGACATGCGTAGGGTGTAGGGTCTGGCCCAGCCCTCGTCAATCGTCTCTTCCGAGTTCTTCCAATGCAATTTCGCATGTGCACATGACACACGCTTTAGCTGCTGGCTGCCAAGCTGCGGAAAGTTTCCAGGCGCCATCTGGCCTCCTATCTGTCCTCCTATCTGGCCAGCCATCTGGCCCGGACCCATCTGGCCTGGACCCATCTGGCCAGGACCCATCTGGCCAGGACCCATCGCACCAGGGCCCATTGGGCCGGGGCCCATCTGGCCCGGGCCCATCTGGCCACTCATCTCTCCCATCTGCCCACCAACAGGTGCTCGCACAGCTTGGCCTGTGCACAAGCAGTCGAACGCAGAGCTGCAAAGTGGGCAAAACTCAGAACTCGGTGCCTGGACCTGGCCCCGGCCCCTGTGGGGGAGCGCCCATGCCAGGCCCCTGTCAAGTTCGTCTCCGGCTCCGAATGGCTTCTTATACATGACAACTCCCTGGCTCTGGCCTGAGGTTGCGCCGCGCCTGCGAAAAGGCTTCAAGCAGCTGTACAGAAGGCAAAAACTGTGCTCTCCCTGTCCGGCTAGTTTGCATAATCAGCATATGTTCAAGCTAACGCCTTACCAATTGACCCGCGGGTTCTGCTTGTTTATCTGTTTCTCGCGTGTGTTCGGTAGCAGTGCTAGTAGAAGTAGTAGCGCTGCTACTGCTACTACTACTACTACTACTACTACTACTACTACTACCACTATTCTTCTACTACTAGTAGTGCTACTGCTGCTACTACTACTACTGCTGCTACTACTACTAGTACTCCTACTACTACTACTACTGCTGCTGCTGCTGCTGCTGCTGCTGCTGCTGCTGCTACTACTACTACTACTACCACTACTACCACTACTCTGCAGCTAGAACAACAACAAGTACTATTACGATTACTACCACTGGTGGTAGTAGTAGTAGTAGTAGTAGTAGTAGTAGCAGTAGCAGTAGCAGTAGCAGTAGCAGTAGCAGTAGCAGTAGTTGTAGTAGTAGTAGTAGTACTACTACTACTACTACTACTACTACTACTACTACTATGATGATGGTCGCCATGTCGGCCCCATCAATACTGTGTAAACCCCAAACCAGACATTACTACAACGCTC